CATGACCCAGTGCTTGCAAACACTGTGTTCTGAGCAGTACTGAGTACAGTAAGTACTCCAGTTTAAAACTCTCTAGGCCCATGCTTAAGTCCCTTTTTCTGTAGAAGACTGAAGCAGGGATGTCAGTTACAAAGTTATGTATGCCTGTTCCTAGGGTGAAGTCATGTATTGCCCTGAGCAGTGTTGCAGTTCACGAGGCAGTAGTTAGAGTATGATGGTTTACTTCTCCAGTGTTGCTCTGTCTTGTCAGTGAATGTTATCTGGGCCTGTCGTGTCATCTAGTTCATATTGATTTTGGAGCTTGATGGGTGATGCTACCCTGTGGTCAGGGTAAACAGCTCACACTGCTGCCAAAGTTCATGATAGCAGGTCTGAGTTGTCATCTCTGCTTCCAGTTTGCGTTGACAAAATGGTATAGAAAAGGGAGGTGAGTGAGGCAGTGCAACTCCTGTTGATGTGTCCATTCAAAGGGCAACAAGAGAGTCAGCTGAGTGTGAGTAAATTCTCATTTATGAGGGCCTGACCTTAGACTCTGGACTTCCTCAGCCTTGAAAAATCCCTGCAGGGCTATGGAATTACATGTTCACTGAAACAATGGCTTGAACTTTGCTATAAGCACCTTGTCTGCCTCAGCTGCAGCACAGTGAAGTGCTCTGAGATAACTGCACGTGCCACCTCAGTTTAGAGGAATCCAATTTGCCATCTCGTCATCAACCTGTTGGCAAGTACCATCCCAGGGTCAGTGCTCTCACAGAACTTATCTGCAGGACTTTCTGTTCAGATGACATCTCTGGGCAAGGAATTCCTGCTTCCTGTTACTGCTGGGTGTGCAGCAGGTTTTGTTTGTTGACACTGGCAATCTTTCAGGCTTCATCTTAGTGCCTTGCTAGCTCTATTACGTGGATGTTTCATTTAGTAGTTTGTGCTTTATGTCTCAAATTCTTTTCGGACCGCCTTCCCACCAGCAGACACCACACTGCCTGAAGATTAAAGTACTGTGGCACTTTGTGATAGTTGTGCTCAGTAGGTTTTTCAGGATTTCAATTTCATTGCTGTTAACAAGAGCCTGTTGGGGGTTTATTTTTACAAAGGAAAGAAAGTTACCAAACAGGATAAGATGTCGAAGTTTTGGATGAGGCCTCAGATGGGGTCTGGCAGCAGTGGACTCTTAGTTCTGCTTGGAAGCAAATCTATGTACAGAAAATGTTTCTATTCAAAGTGCTGTAATCCTCTTCCTTTGTAAAGGAGCCTGATTTAAAGCATCACAAAAGTGCTGTTAGGAGCGAAGGGATGTTTGGTTAGATAGCTCTTCTCTACTGACTATCAGTTCTGCAAGGCTGTAGTTGACAAGTTTTTAGTTCCACTGTGGGACAAAGCAACCCTCTTCCACAGAGCCCACGGGTGGCATTTTTCAGTAATGCCAGCTGATATAAATGCTGCCACACAAACCAATGGCTGATTTGTCCCTGACCTCCAAAGCAGCAGCTCTAGGCCAACATGCTCCATCAAACCGTTCCCTCAGGCTCTGTAGGTCCTGTTTTGCTGTCCTCCTTTTGAGGCACCAAGAGAAAACACTCTGACACCCCTGCTCTGAGAGCAGAACGTGCACCTGGAGTGGCATGGGATGGTGCTCTAAGCTGCTAAACATACTGTGCAGGAATAAAGCTGAACATCTCCTTGAGAATTCCAATGACTGTTAAAATTTGCTGCTGGTGAATGAGCATCACTTGTCCTCTTTGATACCTGCAGAAGTCCTCATTGCTACTCTCAGAGCTGTGAGTAATTGAGGTTTTGTGACTTGTTGATCAGAGACAGAAACGTGGCAGCTGACACTGTGAGCTTTAATTGTTTCTGGTTGCAAGTAGTGTGTGTCCTGGTTGAATGTAGCCTCTTGCTGAACCCTTTCTGCTCTGTTTCTCATTTGCTGCTATGATCAGCATGCACAAAGCTTTTTGCTATGAGCTGAGGAAATACATAAGAGCCACACTCCTTCACCCAGAGCAGGAGTGCAATTTCTTTTGAGACAGAGCAAAAACATTGGTCCTAGAGCCAGGTTTGAAGGCTTTGTTGTCTTTTAGCAATTTCTTTCAGAGGCTTCAAAAATAGATTGACTGGATGAATCAGCAAGTGAAACAACAAAGAGGCTGTGCAAGCACTCCCAGGAAAGATGGGAAACAAGAGGAGTGGGAGATGCAAAGAAAGGCACAAGAACAAAGCAGCGTGACTTTAGCAGGAGAGGAGAGATAGGCCCTGATGGCCTGGGAGGTGGAGATGCAGTAGATCCTGGCAATGGAGAAGGGAGACCTTGAAAAGATTAAAAGATTGAACTGTACTGAGGAGGAAGGTGACTTCTGGGATTTCCAGGCAACTGTGCAGCCATATTTTTGTGCAGCAAGTCAGAGAAACGCATGCGCTGTGTGGTGGAAAGCAGAAATCCAAGAGTTAAATGAGTTTTCTGTTTCCTCTCCCTGTTTTATGAAAGGTTTGCCCTATCTCTGAAGTTGACTTCTCTAAAAGCTACTTCTTAAGGAGTGGTCAGTTTTGTAGTTCCTTGGAGTGTGGACTTCAATGAAGCATGTCAATATAATGCCTTTGTTTGGAGAAGTGTTGTGCAAAAATAGACATCTGAGTTCTTTCAGCTGCTTAAAGGACATTCCCCTCTACAAGCCAAGGCATGCCAGATTTACCCCTCCTGTGCAGCTTTGTGTCATTATTCAAGCAAGTGATATTTCTCATCTACTGAAGTTCTAGGCAGTGGTGGACTGGACCTGCCACTGAGTGAAATCAGTTCTTCCACTCACTTAGCGGAGTCGCAGAAGTCTGTAGGTTAGATGTCCCCATGCTCCTGAGTTGGCAAAGCCTTGAAGCTGCCCTAATTTGTGTTGGTTTTGTTCTGCTTTAGACCTAGAGGTGACATGCAATAGTTCAGGGGAGTCTATTGGCTGGTGTGTTTCCAGAGTTTTACACTGCCAAATGGGCAACTGGCTCTGTGTCTGCCTCCTCCTCAAATTGACACATCTGCACTTTGTGTCAGATTTAATGCCGGCGATGGTAATTCACCACTTTCACTTGTAGAAGTGAAGTTTCTCATCCAATTATAAATGGGCAGAAGACTTTTCTTGCCAGTTGTGTTACCTGCCCAGAAGTGATAAGAATTAACTGGATGGGTGGAGATGTTTCATCCTCAAAGGACTTTGAGAATCTTGCGAGGGAGTATTTTCTGATAAAATGTGCATCTTGAGGATGTGGCAGAAAAAAGGGCTCTATACTGTATCTCCCTGTTTCCAAGCAACTTTTTTTTTTTCCTGGTTGTTAGAAGTGGTTAAACAGATGGGCTGCAGGACTCAGTGCTGTGGAAGAGAGACCATCGTTCAAAAGCAGCCTACCTCCCAAAGCCATATCTGGACCCAGATCTGGTTTGGAATAGCACCAGTATGATGCTGATGTGTGGGATTTCCATTTCCTGTGACAGTTTTTCCCCAGAAGGGAAAGCTGAGGTTAAGACTGGAGTGGAAGAGATTTTGCTTTGTGTGGAACATCTGCAGAACAGGGGGGCCACTGTTGCTGTCTCAGGGAGGTAGTGGGCAGGGAAACTATTGATATGAGAACACAGATGTTTCCTAGAGAGGGATCTCTTGAGTACCTGCTGGCTGAAACATTCCAGGCATTCCTGCACCGTGTTGCTAAGCTCACTGTGTGAGCAGTGGCTCTTGTTCAGTCATGTACATGTTCTTAATTCTGGCCAGTTCACCGATCCGTTGCTCTGATTAGCAGATTTATTATATGGGCTAGCACTGCAAGCCATGTATTTGAAGGTGTGATGGCAAGAGGAGTTGGATGTGATTTCAGTTTGTTGCTGTCATGAATAAATCTGCCAGAGGCAGGGTTTGTAGTGGGCTACACGCTGCAGTGTTTTGGTCTCAGGTTTCCTGGGTTCCTTGTGCATGCTCCAAAAACTGTAGCTCCCTATGGCCCTCCCCCCTTCTCCTAGCTGCTGTGTCAAGCTGCATTTGTTTTTACTGTAAGAGGCAAAGATTCACACCACCTTGGGGCTGACAATCTTGCAAATCATCTACTTAATAGTCCTGAGTAAGGTAACATTAAATACTAAAGGCGCTAAGAAATCCTTCCCCTTTCTCTCACCCTCCCCACCAAGTACTGAATCTTGTCCAAAGCTGCACAAACAGGATTCTGAGATAAAGACCTTGGGTAAGAATTACTAAAACAAACAGAGCATGGAGTGGTTTCTTGAGGGACTGGCCTTCTCAAGGCCAAAGGGTGGGTGTGGAAGAACACACCTTACTGAAAAGAAAGCTGACTACATGAAAAAATACAATACAGGATAAATAGAGCCTTGCCCAAGAAGCCTGTAATATTTTAATTGATTTGATGTAGCACAGGAGGATAATCATACAAGTATACCTCTGTGGAAAGTGTCTTCAGTAGGTTTTCAATAATTAGTAGCACAAAAACCTCTAGATACAGAGGGATTCTGCTCTGCTTAGCATGATGCAGTGCGACTGAGTTACTCAGAGTTAAGCAGCTCTGGTACTGAAACCACATGTTCCAAACAACATTTCTCTCTTCCTTTAAATGTGCTTTAAGACAATTTACGATTCATCTGCAAACTGCCTGGCATTAAACCCAGAGAGAAGAGCAGAAATCCCCCGAGGTACCTCTTCCCTTCTGTAGCCCTTTTCTAGCTGTACATTCCCAGGGGCACATTAGTTTGGTCACCCTGTAGTGCTTGTCTATTGATGACTGGCTCTTTGTCAAGTTTTTTGGTTACTGTTCTGTAGTTGGTTTGTTTACTATTTTTGTCACATGGCTGAAATCCACGTTAGGACATTATCTGCTATCAATGTTGGCTACATTCTGATTTAAAGGAAATCTCTGATTTTGATAGCCTGTAAATAAAACCTAAGGGAAATGTGTGTATGGATCATGTTGGGTTATGTGGCTGTAGTCCACTAACACCTCAAAAATTCTTCCTTTTGCAGATTTTTCTCCTGGAAGCGCATGTAGTCTCTGGAGTCAGTCAGTGATGAGGGGTGATGGCTGCATCCCCTTGACTTAAAGCTTGTTTAACTTTCCTGCTGTGGAGCTGATGTTAGTCTGCAGATAATGTAAGTATTATTGTTTTAACGCAGTCTAAAAGAAAAAGGAGAGAGCTGTCAGATTCTCTGCTGTATTACTCTGCCTGGTGGCAGGGTTGTCCTTCACAGTGATCCCTTGAATGTGGTAATAATAATAGTAGAGCTTTATTTTGTTTCAGCCAAGAGCAACAGTCAAGCTAAAAGAGTAAATATCGCCCATTCTGCTTTTGCACACGTGCTCAATCTTTGTGTTGGTACACTGATGCTTCTCAAGTTCTTTCTTCAGACAGCAAGGGAACCTTTGTCCTTCCCCGTACAACCAAGCCATCATCTTCATTTTAGGTATCTACAAAATCAATGTGTGTATCAAAGTTGCCTCATCCAGCTTCCTTTATAACCAAACAAAAGAAATCGGCGCTTGTTTGAAGAATTTTCAGAGATCAGTGAACCTTGCCCTTAATACTGTTGACTACACAGTCTAAGCTCAGCTGAGATATGGATGTCTGTGGTGAAATCCCACCCCGGGTGTAATCAAGTCTCCTCAGGTTTGTGTGAAATCTTGGGACTGAAGTTGTTTTTCCACTATGAGAGGGTGATAAGGAGCATAGGAAGACTGTAAATGAGCAGTCTATTGTGAACAAGAAAGTCCTATTAAGGTTACAACTCTACAGAGGTTACACTGAGATGGATGACTTTTGAATGGAGAAAAATGTGTTAGAAACCCCTGCTGATTTCAGGGGAAGGGGGAGGGGAAAAGGAGAACACTACTTGCATTGTCACTCATTTCTAAGGATAGCTTCCTGGAGAGTGTAGCCTTAGGACACTGGTGGACAGACCCTGTAGTGCTTGCCAGTAGGTGAAAACGATGAAAATGGGTTTTTCCAGGAGGGCAGGTGATAGCTGAATAGCACTTCTATTTCTGTTTTTGAGATCATTCTTTTTGTTTTGAAGTCATTCTGGGAGGGAGCTGGGGTTCTTTTTGAGGCTGCCAGCTGGGTTTGAACTTTAACTGAGTGGTGTCTTTCGGGTGCATCAGGCCATGCAGCCACAAGGAATGCTTCTGTGCAGCAGTGAGGGCAGCGTCACTCAGGCCGTGCCGACAGGGCACTTGTACTAGCTCCAGGATGGCCTGACCCAGGCTGGGGCTTTCACTATTGGACCTTTGCCTCTGATTTCCTTACCAGGATGACTGGGGCTCTGCCAGGCAGTGATAGCTGCCAGGCAGGTGTGGGAACACTATTATCCTGTAAGGGCAAATAAAGACTCAAGCCAAGTGGGCTAATAGCAGGAAGGAGATGGTCTGACTCAGTGTTCTGTCAGTGTGGTGCATTGCACTCTGTTAGTCCATGATCCCACACACTCCATCAGTTTAGTAAGCACATTCCTTGTCCTTGTAGCAAAACTTTTTTAGCCATGATCTTGGCAGACTCAAATGGAGGAAGCCTCTTGTGAGGGCTGAAGTGGGTCTGTTTCATCTGTGTCCCAGAAGATGCCCCAGAAGTATCCAGTAGCTGCTGGCTTGGAGAAACACTGGTCTTAAAAACCCTTCCAAAAAAGCATGGAGAAAAAAATCTGTCATTATTGCTTGAAGAGTGGTTTTTTGTTTGTTTGTTTGTTTTTGGGTTTGTTTGTTTTTGGTTTTTTTTTGAGATCTCTATGACAACCCCCTGGAGACCTCAAAGTAACACTTCTCTAATGGATCTTATGTTTGGAGTCAAAACGAAGATGATTTTTTCTCTGTTAGTGTGAAGGTCTGTATTTACAGTTTTTTTGATTACATGGTTGATGAGCTAGAACTATTTCTCTCAGCAGAGCCACTTGTCCATCTCAAACATGCCTAGAATGTACAGGTATTAATTGCACATGTCCTTGCACAGAAGCTCTCTTCTTCAGGGTGAAAACATTATAACTACTGTGACAGCAGTACAGAATTTCTCCCTTTCCCTGAACTCAGCACAAGAGAGGTGCTGAGAGGGAATTGCACAATCGCTGCCCAGCCCTTGCTTACAGTACTTTCCCTGCTTCAGCATTGCGCTGAGAACTGCAAAGTGGCTGAGGAGATTATTTTCAGAGCAGGAAACGTGCACGCTTGGTACGGAGTGGTGCTTCTTGAGTTTAGTTCCTAAATTGGTCATTTGAGCATGTATGGGATGCAGCTGTCATGTTGCTGGGTAGCGGGTAGAACTGAGATCACTGACATCCCACAGGATGAGAGGTCCTGTATGCTGATGGAAGCTTGATGCTCTTTCTGTTGGGTAGGCTGACCAGGCCTATGCCAAAGCCTGCAAAGAAGCTGGGGCAAATCTGTGTCTAGCCAAATCCTACCCCAAAAAGGAGGCTCATTTTGAAGAGAGCTGGCAAACTGAATTCCTGTAGCAGATAAGGCAGCTTCTACAGGCCAAAACAGAATAGGGCTAGGGAGCAACTGGAAGCCAAGAGATGTATTTGTTTCTGCCACTAGCAGAAACAATCTAGCAGCTAGATTGCAGTGGCAGAAAGCTCCATAACACTAACTAGCCTGTCAAGCAGCAGAGAGAAGGATTTCTTGCACAATTCAGAGCAATACGCTAGCTGACTACAGATGCAAGGAAAGGGTTTAAAATTGCACAATGTGCTGAAGAATGATATAAGTGGGGATTTTTTCTGACAGTTATTGGCAATTACGAAGAACTGAGAGATAACTGTATTCCCTCTGTCCTTCATTCATCAGGTTGTAGAGAGAATTTATGTAAGAAACAGCCTCAACCACAGCCAGTACAGCAGGCCAAAATGATTCCATTGTCACACGTCGGTTGCGTGTGTGGCAGGCAGAGTCTGCATGGAGACCGTTCAAAGAACAGTGGCTTTCTGCATTGTGAAATGCTTTTCAGAGTAAAAGTGTCACCTGAACGATACTGTCTTGGGCTAATTACTCTGAATTCAATGGCCAGTTGGTATTGTATAACAGCAACAATTAAGGTCAACAAGCCTGAGCAAGCGGTCTCCTTGGGGGGGGGTATTTATTTCCAATTTTTTATGACTTAGCTAGTGTCTAAGGTGGTGATCCACTTACTTGTACTGGTTGGAATGGAACATACACTGCTGACTTTGGGCTCACTGAGATGTAAGAGTCCAGGAGATCTGCGAAATCCACTCTGATTTAGGTATATAACTGAAATGCATCCAGAAGGGTGTCTGTGTTCCCCCTGTTCCAAAGCACAATTGGGATTTGGAGCTAAGTGAAGGAGATGCGTGTACTGCAACAGAAGAGCAGGTTGCCAGTGAGATGTGGCTCACAGTACTTCGTGTTAGTGTAAAAGCAAGTGAGATGGGGCACTCCTTTTCCCTTGTGCCTTACTCTCTCTGATGGGAAGTTCCTTCTATTTCCCAAAGCGTACAAGAAAGTTTTTAATTCTATCGTAAGTTTCTTTCACCTCAAATTCCTTCCTCTTTTGGTTAGCAGTTTTTACAGCATCTGTGTGGCAGAGAAGGCTGCATGTTCTCTCTGCCTCTGCTTTCTACGCACCATAGAAAAAACTCATCTGTCACTCCCCTATTCCTAGAAGTTGCACTGCGTGTCTGCAGTGTAAATTACGAAATAACTTTGCGTGATACCTTTTGATTTTTAAAGCATCAAAAACAGTCTCAAAAATGAAGGAAAAATACTCTGTTCCCCTGGATTCAAACTGACGTGAGCACTTGGATGTGGATCTCACATGGGCACAGAGGGAGTGGTTCTCTCTGAAGTAGTTCAGTCTGCACCTGTAACCTCTTAAACTGCAGTCATATCTCTCCTGTGAACCAATATTTGCTTAAGACTCAGGCATGATTTATATGGGAGTCTTGGTGTTGCAACAACTGCTCTGTTACTCAATAGGATTCCCAGACAACTGGTTAATACATAACAAGGCAGCTCCGTAAATTCAGTTGGTACAAATTCTCATCAGAGTGGAAAGGAGAAATTCTTGACATCGTATCATACTTAACTCATAAAACTATCAAATACCTGTAATGGAGTGCAACACACTCCAGTTAAACTGGCAGAGGGTTTGTTCTGGTGTTTTTTTGGGGGGGAAAGGTGTTAACTTGTGTTAATTATTTAATGACAGTTTCCTAATTGTCATGTGTAATTGTGTTATTGTCTTGGGTCAAAATGTAAACAGAGTAGGATTAAAAGAGTTAATTATAAAATGCCACAGCTAAAGGCCCTGTAGAATGTGATTCCAGTAACAATTAGCAGTGTGGTCAGTTCTGAGTGCAGGTGTAGGTGTCTCCTGCTTCGCTGTGGTGATGCATGCAGTTACCCCTGCCTACCTAATGTTCTCAGTGATGGGTTCTGAATGAAGCCCATTTGTCTGGTGTGCAGTTTCACATAAAAGTCTGCTCCCCTTATTTTATGTCAATATGTCAGTAAAAAAGATTGAAAAATCTTAAGACTGTACAATAAGCAGATGTTGATAGTCAAAGACTCTAGGACAGAGAACTGACTTTACAAATGCCATTTGATCTTGGAGGTTTAGAGGGATGTATTTGCTCTATAAGTGGAAAAGATGAGTTAAAACTCTTCAGACAGCCTAGAAAATCCTCAGCATCTGTAGGTTTGAGGCTAGAACACCTGCAAGCCAGTCAGCTGCTGTGACTGAGAACACAGCCCAAAATATTTTAATGCCTCTGCACTTCTACTCCAGTATTTACTCTGCTCTTCAGCACGTGTGTGCTGAAGTCCGGTGATCACTTGGTTGGCAGGCAGCTCCCTCAATAATCATGCTGTTGCATGTTTGGAAACATTTTCTGACTTAATGACCTTTCGTTAACCTCAGGCTGCTCGTTGTTATCACCAGGGAGGAATAAATGTGTCTGTGTGACAGGGATTGCTAAAGCTATATTGCCTGGATTGTATGTCTTGCCTGTGGCTTTGCCAGGGGAGACCCTTACTGCTGGGTTAGTTCCCAGGAGATGCAGACACCTTGCTCTCCTGCCATCTTACCCAGCCGTGGCCGCTGGATAAAAGAGCTCTGACAGCCCCCTGGAAATAGCCAGCTCAAAACCGTGGTTTGGTTTAAGTGATAAACTGCAGGGGTGCTGTAAAAACTATGCCATTACATCTACTTAAACAGCGCCCAAGTCAAAACTGTAGTGTCCAGGATCCATATCTGGAACCCACCCATATTAAAACCTAACACCGGAAAAAACTGCAGCATGCTTGAATAACCAGCGGTACTGGAACTGCAAGTTCTGTCACAAATCAGTTATTCCAGCTTGGTGTTAGTCCATTGCTATGCATACCTAGCATAGCTATTTGTTGCATAATGAGCAAAAGAGAAGGAAAAAATGATCATTTTGAAGTCTAAGTCATTTTTGGATTAGTTTGTGACCTACCTCGTGGTTTGGACCAAAAATAGACTTTGAAATTTCATAGGAACACATGCTTGCTTTTATTTTCCTGCTGGCTGCTATTCATGAATACAGCACTGTGCTGGTGTGTGTTCTTGGATCTTTTTGTACGGCATCTAAATATAGTGCATTTACTATCATGTTAATGGCAGTGACAGGAACATGAGAAGGAAGTTCTTTAATTGGCTTTGCACCTGCTCTGTCTGTGGATGTGATCAGGGAATGCTCAGGTTCCTTGTGGCCTGAGCAGCTACCACATGCAGTGACAGTGCCCAATGCACTGCTGCGGTGCATTGCTGTCTTTGTCCTTTGTTATGCTCTACAGTCTTTTGCCAGAGACCACTATTTCATGCGCACTGCTTAATTCTACGTTGTTTTTCTTTTCTCCCCAGCTACCACATCCTATCTGCCTCATGCTGATCCACTTGCTGTCAGGTGAACAGGTCCTATCTTGGGCAGCCCTTGTGCAGGATGTGTACCTATGTTGGGCAGTCCCCCTGTGCCTCTGCACGCTGCACACCCCTCCTGCAGCCTATGGGAGATTGAGAGAGAGCTAATTCCATGCAGGTAGGAACCAGCTGCTGCAGCATTTTCTTTTTTAAGCATAGGCCTGAAGCTGTGGCTTATGTAGTGCCTTGCACAACCAGAAGATTTAAACCTGCTTTTTGTTCTTTGATTTTAAAGAAATAAGAAAACGCTTGGTTAATTCCTACTGTATTCTCAGTATCTTTGGGGTCCTGAGAAACTTGCTCAGCTAAGTTTCTTCAATGAGATGAAATTGGTGTGGAGTAAGTAATTAAGTAACCTCTATTATAGTAAAGGTTCGGTCAGTGTGACTCCAGGAAAAGTCATTTTCTGGAACCTGAGCCAGGTAATGTTATCTTTTCACACTGCCTGGAGTACCTGGCACTGTAGAAGCTCTAGGTCTTTGTGGTTATCTTAGACCAACACAGCAAATGAATGAACATATTATCTTCTTGGGAAGGCTGCTTTCTGGTGTAACACTTCCCTTACGTTAGTGAGATATGTATATGCTGAGACAATTCCTAGAGTAAATCTTACTCTTTAGCCCTTTGGGTGCTCCCTCAGATGTACTTCAGGTACAAAGTTGTATCTCAGGTTTGGCTTGCATTTTGAGCTGGAAATTAAGCAAATACAGAAGGAAAATTAAGTAACCTCTCCATGGATCAGCTCAAATTTAGTCCCAAAATTCTCTCAGAGTCAAAGCATAGACATTATACCAAATTCTTTGGGTGAAATACTCTGTTTTGCCTGTGCTACTCAGTCTGCTTTGACACGTAGTATCATTGCTGATGACATGAACCTGAAGGAATGCTTTGCTGCAGGAGGCCCTTACTGTCACTCAGAAGAGGAAGATGGGACAGCAGTGTAGCCTCTTCTGCAGTTGCATCTTGCCTAGGTGACTTAAACATCTTCATACCCTCACAAACTCTGGCTCTCAGAGTACTGCTTTTGGCTGCTGATGCAAGGAGTAAGAAACAGCAGCCTTACTATTTGTTTAAAATTCAGCAAGGGGCTTACCAGGCATAGAAGCAAGGAATTGAAAAGTGAAAGCAGGCTCTGTGCCAAGTGCAGCTTGGACACAGAACTAGACTGAGAGCGTTTTGCTAAGGCAAAAGAGAGCTACTGTGTGGAGGTGAGCCGAGAGGCTGAGGGACACAGAAACAGCCCTGAACTCTCACCCACTCTTGCAATGACTGCACAGCTCCTGTGCCAAAGCCTCCAGCCTCAGCCCAGTTGCAGAAATGGAATTCACAATCTCAACAGCAACCTGTTCCTGGTACGTAAAGAATGCTTATCAACAACTGCTAAGACGTCTGCAAGCTTTTCAGCTGATATAAGTATCTGCATCCTTCTGCACAAGTGTCTGTCATTCTCTTCGTGTCGTGTGGCAGATCTGGGCTTAGCTGGCATTTGATCTTGCCAGTAAAAGCTCATGCTTCTTGGTACAATAATGAGAAAGACTTGGGAAAGAAAATTAAGTGTTTATGAGTCAGAATTCTAGACTTAGCTCTTTTGTGAGCAATAAGCAATTTCTGCCGCACTAATGCAATTGGAGTGAATAAAATCATGCGTCAGTCCAACTGCAGTTCTCTTTGCTGCAGATCTATAAGTATTAAAGAAAAGGAAGGGGGAAAAACCAGCAACTCTACAAAGCTTTAGTAAATCATAGAAATTAATAAAAACAAATGTTTCGTCTTATACCATCAAAGAAAGAAAAAAGACTTCTGCCCTCTCCTGATTGAGTATTTGCTTGACTGCATCCATAACCAGTGAAGAGTAGATATTTCAATCCAGACTTGTTGAGGAAGTGCTTCTGTTGCTGCAAAGGACATAGTGGATGCACTGATCACTGCGGGGAATAACCTGTGTGGTCACAGTATGAGAACTGAGGGAAAAGTAAATTACAGAGGAAGGTGTGACACTTCTGTGATGGGTAACTCTCTATCTCCTTGCTGATAGCCAAGGTCATGCAAACTCTTAAGCCTCTGCTCACCCCAGGGAATCTTAGTTCAGAACGTTCCTTATTTGCAGCATAATTAGTCACTTGGTGTTTTGTCTGTGCCCTCACTCTTCTTATCTCACCATTACTTCCTCTGCTTTAAAGCTCATGTATCCAGGGGATGCGGGCAGCTGAAGAAATATTCTTTTAATGAGTCTTATTTATTAGGTGCTACTGTTGATGAAACTATTAGATGGAATCAAAAATAGAACACAGATACGGAACCTATGTTTGCTGTCTACAAAAAAAATGTGTGCTAATGCAGCTGCGTTGCTATGGTACAAAAGCTGACATCAGGAACATGAAGATGCATTTGCCTTTTCCCAATGCTTAAGATGGCAGGCTGATTGACTAATCCAGTGGGTAGGACATTGCACTGTTACTTAACAAGGTGCTTCTGGTGCACAAGAAGTGGAAATGGGGATCAGTTGCTGCTGAGAATGTAATCAAGTTTCTCAAGTCTGATTCCAGTGTTCATAACTGTCCAGTTTGGGAGTGTTTGTACTTAATTCCTTTTCTTGAATATTTGTCTTCTGATGCCTTTTTCAGTATATTCTGATCTTAACAGAAGCTTCAGTTTTGTTCAGCTTGACTACACGCATTATTTAAGCGTAGTAAACTCTTAGGAGCAGAAGAAAAAACACATATACAAGTAGCAGGAAGAGGTTTATTTTATTTTGTTTCATCTGAATGTGGATGTAAAACTTGTGAAAATTACTACCTTAGTAGCTCTAGAATGGGAACCTTCCTCTGTTTATCCACTGAAAATCCACAGTGTGGAGAGCAGTAGTATCAGTTTATCATACAGTGATTCTCCTATGTGCTTTAAGCCAAATGGCTAGGAGCAGAAAGCTATTTATTTTGAGAGGGAGAGATTTCACATGTAGTGAAACCAGTGCCAGTACTGGTTTCTATGTACTGCACCCAGTTTTCCACCATGCCTTCAGACCATTCATCTTTGGCATTGATGCTTAGGTTTTAAATAACACCAAGCTGACGCCACTGCTGTCACAAGGCTTCCTGCTCATTCAAACCAGGCACTCTGGCAATATGAAAGAATCTTCACCCACAACTTAAGCCTGAAAATCATCTTGCTGATAATGAATTCCTTCCTTAACCAACACTTACTTTCTGGGAGTAGTGACTTTAGATGAACAAGGTCTGCAAGCCCTCAGTATGACTCACCTTCATTTCTATCACGTGTTCCTCTGCTGCTTTGTCCTCTGCCTTTATCACATTGTACACACTTGTGGCTCCCCAGAAGATAGATGGTGTTTGTTGTAAAACATTTTGAACGTTTTTCAAGTGAGTTACGCCCTTTCTGTAAACTCACCAATGAATTACAATGAGTTACTAATTACTAATAGTGTTAAAATACTAAATGACGTAACGAGCCTTAGCCATTTCCTGTAGGAAATAAACATACAGAGTTAATTTGCGTCCAGATACTTATCAAAACAGAAGTCGTTACAGGACTGGAGCTTAAGTTAGACCAACATTAAGAAAAGGTGAGCATGTTGGAAGCAAAAAGATACAAAACAAACATTTTTCTATCTGCTTCCAAGTTCTCTGAGGCTTTGTAATAAACTGTGTAAATTAAAGCAGACTCGTGTCTTGGTAAGAAGTGTCAGTGAGGAGGCCAATATCAACAAGCTAGAGGGGACAGGGTTCTCTATCCAAGCGTCTGACTTTTCTGCCATTCACACCAGGAGCAAATCTAGAAGATTACAAATGACTTCTATGGGTTAGGGAGCTTTGTTTTCTAATTAATGTCCCGTTACTCATGCTGTGAGTATGTCGCGTGAAGGTCAAGCACTTGGAAATAGAAAGACCGGCCACTGTGGGAGGTAAAATTAGTTCTGGTGTTTTCACTGCTACTGCCCGCGTGCAGAGACCGCACCATTGAGCTGCAGATGGAACCTCAGCAATGGCATCGGCTGCTCCAGCAGGGATCTGCGAAGGGAAGGTTTGTCCGCAGCTCCGGCCGGCCGCTTCCAGCATCCCAATCCGCGCTCTGACCCGCGGATTTTACGTTCTAAACGAAAAGCTGAGGAGCAGAGGGGAGAAGAAGGCATCTGTCTGTCTTCCGTTCCGCCGCGGCGTTCCTAACCCACGTTCGGGTTCTGCCGCCGCTCAGCCGCGGTCGCTTTGGCGGTGCTGAGGCCGCCGTGCGAGCACGAAGTTCCGAAGCCAATCCTGCAGCTTCTCGGTAGCTCCCCGGGCTCTTCGGGGGCTTTCCAGCGCGGTTACCCACCGGCCCTTTCCCGCCGCTCCGCCCCAGCAGCTGGCGGGGCAGCGGCGCGGGGGCGGACGCGCTGCCTTCCTGCCGTTCGCCTTCGCTCCCGGCGTGGTGCGCTTTCTCCCGAGCCGAGCTTACACGCGGCCGTGAATCAGCTCCGGCATGCGGCAGCTGACTCAGCCGGCCGGCAGCTCGCCGTAAAAAGCAGACCGTTGAACAAACGCTCTCGGTGGCCGCAATCGTACGGCGCAGACGGAAAGTCACGGCACGCACCGGGCTCCTCGGTCCGCCGGTAGCGCTCACCTCCTCGGACCTCTGCAGCCCCCCGCCTACGTCCCGTTACGAAGTGCCTCGGGAGGCGCCGAGCCGCTACCGCCGAGGGTCCGTAAGGGAAGAGGGGAGGTGGGCGGGGTCACCTTGCGCTGACCCCCCACCCTGAGCTGCGCGCGCCGGTTACCAGGGCGACAGAGGAGCGGCCAATCAGCGCGCCCCGCGCCCGCCCCTTCTTTCTCCTGGGTGAGAGAGCACCAATCGGTGAGCGTTCCGGAAGCCGGCAGAAGGCGCTCTCCCGTTCCGCGGCCCTGCCCCTCGGCCTCGCTCTGGGCAGGAGCTGAGACCCGAGAGCCAATCGGAGCGGGGGGAAAAGGCGTGAGGTGAGCGGGCCCGCGTGCCGCTCTGCCTATAAAATGGGGGCCGGGCGGGGGCGCGCGGCTCATTCGCAGTTGGCGGCCGTGGCGGAGGGGCGCTGTGAAGAGAGATAGAGGGCAGTGTGAAAGCCGCCTCGCGCGTCCGCCCCGACGTCCCTTCCCTGCCGTCGCTCCCTTTCGCCATGAAGACCAAGTTCTGTAACGGCGAGGCCGACCCCTCTCCTCTCGGGCTCCTCCTGGGCTGCGGTCCCGGCTCCGGCGGGGGCGGCGTCGTCCTCCCC